ATCCACCGTGGATCAGTTGCTTATCAGCGGGTGAGAGTAGTTGAGTTTACTAAGCACGGATCACAAATATTAACCGTTGATCAATACAAACAATCCAACGGCTCCAAGTTAATCCCCACACCCGGATTCTCCTTATAATAAACCCCCCCATCCACATTATTTCGTCGAACCGTAATTCGATTAAAATTTGTTCTAATTATTTTGATTTTGAATATTAAAACATGAAATCTAATTTTTGAACTTCGATCATAAAATTCCACAAATATATTTGTTGTAGAGCCCAATTAAAAGTAATAACCCGTGTCTGTTTAGCAAAGGGGAAGAACGGCCTAGGTTTTCTCTCTTTATTACACAAAAAATTGACAAATATTCATCACCAATTTGTCTCGTTGCAGTGATTTCTACTCGACTTCTTCATCGTCAAACTTGAAAGGTATTATCGGATTGCATTAGTGTTAAAAATTGCTTTATATGTTGAAATCGACTCGATTTGTTTGTTGTGAATGATTTAATTTGAACTCAACTCTTTATAATTTATTTTATTTTCCCATAATTGTTGTTTCTTGATGGTAATCTTTCTCTGGCAACGGTGATTTTTTAACAATATTTCTCTTGAATTTTTGATGCGGTTGTTTATGGTTTTCCGTTGCCTTGAAAACTGGCCACCCTAATAGGCGAAATACGCAGGACCAAAATCCAACTGCCCCCACTAGACCCCAGATGGCTCTGCCCTTGATTATGGACATTACTTCAGTAAATTCAATTCCAAGATTTATAAAATAACGTTGCAGGAAGGAAATTTGAAAAAATGACAAGAATTTTGATGTGTTTAGTTATTTGTTCCACTGATACTTTTAACTCCCTCTTTGTGAAGATCAACTAGAATGCCCAAAATTTTCCATGAATAGGTTCTGGATTTTGAATATAAGAAAATGATGGAAGGTAACTAGTTTATTTTGTAGAGATGTTTATTGATGAGATAACTTCTCTGTTGGTAAGTTCCTCATTGAAAAAACTGCATAAGAAGCTGATAACAGTTTTGGGTAAATGATTTTTGGTTCTACTTTGGAAAAAAAAGTTGTGTTATAAAGATAGAAAATTTTCAATTGATTATGGTGGAATTCACATGGTTTCAGTTGATAACATTGCTCATACTTTCTTTGGTGTCTTGAGTTGGCATCTTTTTCTCTTTTATGTGCCAACTGCATGTGCTTGTACTCATTACCACTTTACCAGTGTTAATTTCTTGAAATAAAGGTATTATCGTATTCCGTCTTCCCAAAATCCTTCGTTTTATGGCCCCTTAGGAATTTAAGGCTTATTTAATGGACTTGAAGTATTTGCTTTGTATTTATATTGCTCGTCCAATTATTTTGAGATTTCTTGAGTTGCATCTCAAGAACTGTAGGGAACACGGAGAGGGCGAGCCACGAGCTTCAAACTTAGATGTAATCTCAGAAAGGAACCTGCTGCCTCCTGGGTTGGCTGCGTTTCAAATAATAAAATAATGATAGAGTGGGGCAAACCACGGTGTGGATTGTTTGAGATGGGAAGGGAGGAGTTTGACAACTAAAATTTTTGTTCTTGTCAACAAAATGTCATCGATTTGCACCATCTATAATACGATCTTTTTCTTTTTGTTAATGGGCATTTGAAGCAATCAAATTAAAATTGATTTTTTTGAAAATATTGTTCAAGAATCTGAGGTTGTGAGAGAGGGCAAAATAATGGTTTTCTAACCCACCCCCCCCTCCCGGCGAAAACATTTAAGTGGCAATTAGGATTGTCACAACTGGGGCCTTTCTTCATTAAAACTTACATATTAGTTAGTAGTTGCCATTGTGCTATAATTCATTTATGATATGCAAAATGTGTGCCCAAGGTATTGGTATGTGCTACTTCTATCATTCCCAATCTCCGATTAGCAATTATATAAAATATTGTTTTATTACTCGAGTCGCTACATTGACATGCTTTCTTGTTTTTGCATTTCTTGTAACAGATGATTGACGATCAGGACCTGGGCTTCTTTGCCAACTTTCTTGGCATATTTATATTTGTTCTTGTGATTGCTTATCATTATGTAATGGCTGACCCAAAATATGAAGGCAACTGAAGAGTTCCTTCAGTATCAACCTATAGTATGAGTGTTTTGTCAGTTTAATTATGTTGACACAGTTTGGAATGAATACTTTTTCTTTAGAAAGAGCTACTCTTAGACAAATTTATCCTTGCTTCTAGTTCATAGATAAACTTGGAAAACAGTAGCAGTAATCAGAAAATAATTCCCCTTCTATTTGCCAATTATTATTATTTTTTATTTTTGGTTTTTTAAGTATTTTATTCTGAGCATGGATTTGCTGTGTTTATACTTGTCAACATAGTTTTTTTACAATCTGTGGGACGAAATTGGCAATGCTGCCCAGTTGGATGTCATGGAGAAAGTAGCGGAAACATTGATGCCGGATGAAGTTTTTGTGAACAGACGTGTAGGTATAACAGAAAGTAGAACTTGTTCAAGAGAGTTTTGAGTTACATTTTGGTACAAGAGGATACTGGGATAAAAATGGAAATTTGAGCTAATTGAGTTAGTTTTGAACTCTATCGTATATTATCTCAAAAATTTAAATAGTAGCAAGCAATTTTAAGAATTTTTAACATGTCGGTAGTTTACCATATTTTCTAATAGTAGCAATTGGCGCCACTGACCACTATGTATTAGGGGGGTGGGTGGGAAGGTTGGTTTATTGAGTGAATGTACGGGCTTTTAAAGATGGTTTAATCACCGAGTTTAGCGAAATAATAACCACACTTGGCTCACTGTCGCAGATTTAAAGCCTATTGGACAGCGTTTGAGATCGTTTTTAATTTGTTTGACGCTTCCTATGCGGGTTAAGGAGGATGAACAATTTTTGACAACGTAGATTGATTTGCTCTATAATTTCCTGACTTCAGGAGATACAGGTTGAAGAGACTCAGCAAGATTCAAGGACTAATTTCCTCTTACTTGGAGAGGATGATGCGCAACAATATCACGTCAAAAGTCACGAGACCTTGATATAAGACATCTCCAATGCTATTTCCGAAACATCATTTTGCACCAAAAAATGGTGCAAACACTCTCAAACCTAGCACCGTTTTAAACCAAAATGGTTAAATACAATTTTGCCCTTCTCTTTCACTTTGCAAAAAAATTTGATTTAAGGGTGTTTGTGTCCGTTTTTGTTATACATTTTTTAATATAATAAATTATTATTATTATTAATATTGTTGCATTGGTAATAAATTTTAATAATGTAATCAATAATAGTAAAGAAATTAATTAAAATAAGAATATTCAAAAAATTTTAAAATGTAACAAACATGATTATTTAAAGTTAACACGATTGTTCTTTCTATTTCACATTTCCACCTATGTCAATTAGATTCAACAGGGGCAAAATTGGCTATAACAAGGTGTTGATCGTCTGATAGAGGGAAAATGTACAAGTTTTTTAGGGTAATTTCGCTTGTACAGGGGTATTCCCTGTACAAATGACACTTGTTTTTTATCCCGATCAATGACAGGGAGACACTTGTGTTTCAGCCATGTACAAATTTTAGCATGGTTCTTTTTTAATGCCACATCAAAATTTCACTTGACAACTCAGCAATTCTGTTAATTTTGACAATGGGCAATGTATGCAATGGCTAATTTGAAATATAATACAAAGCTAAATGTTTTATTTGTGACTAATTAAAGATCAATAACTAAAGTCTTTGACCCTAAAGATTCTCCTAGAGGTGATATGGATCGAGCAGGATCGGCTTGGGTCCTTAAACATTCGAGCTCGACTAGTGTTCAAATTTTAGGATTAGTGTTCAAATTTAGGATTGGCTCTATTCTTTGGCTTGACAAGTCAACATGTTATTTCACTACACTAATTAAAAGGGAGGATGTGTCTTTCATTGTTCATTCATGAAACATCCTTTTCACACTAGAAGTTGATTACTGCTGTTCACTATCTGGTTTGTAATTGATAGAGTTTTGCTTTCCACGTGTTCCCCACTGTTCATTCATGTCACCTTCTTACCACACCTAAAGCTGGTTGGTACTGTTCACTATTTGGTTTGACAAATATCTGTAATTGTAATTGACACAATTTTTCTCTGTAAATGTACTCAAATATTTTACGATCTGGTTGATACTGTTCACCATATGGTTTGACAAATATCTGAATTGATAGAATTTTTTCTCCTCAAAAATATTCCACAACTGCAAACAAAATCCTTATTTTTTCTCTCTCGATAAACCTCTCCCTCCAAGATCTACACGAAATCCTTAATCGAATTCTGCAGCTATAGTTTACAGTCTTCAAATCGCCACCGTAGAAGAGGAAATAAAATTTCGAGTAGTAAAACTTTTAGACGTGTAAAAATATTTAATTGCTTTTCATACATTTTTTGTTATTCTATTCTATCACTTGACAAAGAAGTTGATGTGAATTAAAATGAGATCACCCATCTTCAATTATTGAACTCTAATATTTGTTGTTTTCTAAATTGATATAGAATTTAACTTTTTCTCATTAACCGAAATTTATAAAAAAATAAAAATATGAGATGTTTCACGTCAAGTTGGAACTTGCGAGTTCTAGGCCCCCTTAAGGGCACTGTTAATAGCCCTCTTTAGGTCATCTGATAGGTAGATGTAAGCTCCAAGAAAGGTATAGTCAAGTTTGACGTTATAGCATATACTCGTATGTCATCTCATAGGTGAAGTAGCATGATTCATCTTATCCACCGTCGATCAGTTGCTTATCAGCGGGTGAGAGTAGTTGAGTTTACTAGGCACGGATCACAAATATTAAACGTTGATCAATACATACAATCCAACGGCTCCAAGTTACTCCCCACACCCGGATTCTCCTTATAATAAACCCCTATCCACATTATTTCGTCGTATTGCAATTCAATTAAAATTTGTTCTAATTATTTTGGAAGAAAATTCGTTCGGGAAAATGTCTGGAAGAGGAAAGGGTGGCAAGGGTTTGGGAAAGGGCGGAGCGAAACGCCACCGTAAGGTGCTTCGTGATAACATCCAGGGCATTACCAAGCCTGCGATTCGACGTCTGGCTCGGAGAGGTGGAGTTAAACGTATTAGTGGTCTCATCTACGAAGAGACGCGTGGTGTCCTCAAGATCTTCTTGGAGAATGTCATTCGTGATGCCGTCACATACACAGAGCACGCTCGCCGGAAAACTGTCACTGCAATGGACGTTGTATATGCGCTGAAGAGGCAGGGCCGAACACTGTATGGCTTTGGGGGTTAAGCGCTTGGAATGTGATTGGTTTCTTAGATTACTTTTGGAAATTAGGGTTTCATGTAAATGCTCGGTTTAATTGGAGTATCGTATTGTGGCCTAAATGAATGTAATGAGCTCTTTTGGATCTTCAATATGATAGTTATTTTGATGAAGTGAAAATTTCTGTTCTTCAAAATTATCCTTTATTTCAATGAAGTCAAATTCTGTTCAAATCTGGTTTCTATTCTCTCTCTAATATTTGATATCTGGTTTCAGTTTTGATTCTTGCTGGCTGCATTGCTGTTCGACTTAATTGTATTTTATTTATTCCAATTTCTATTCATTTCCAGTGTGGTGCCATTTATTTGCTTTGAAGGATCTTTACTGGTTAAGAGGTCTGTTAGTGGTAATGTTTTGGGTTGAATTGAAGTCTTTTGCTTCCGCGTGTGTGTTTGGTAGAGATTTTTTGGGGGGAATAATTGATTTTGAATAGTGATATGATGGGAAACGTGTGGTTGAAAAAGAAGATAAGATTATTGATGTGATAGAAAATATTATTTTATTGAAGAATGTGTGGTTGAAAATGAGAATTGATTTATTGTTGAAAATGAGAATTGGTACCAAACATAGCATAATATTTGTGTATGTCATTGCTGCTCTGGGCTAGCAGTATTGTTCAATTCTATTGATTATGTCTGATTATGAGTTTGAGATTTGTTACTTTATCTTTTGAGCCTAAAATTTTGAGCTTGAGATTATGTTCAGAAGACATAACTTATTTCGATTTTGAGCCTAAATTTTATTTTACTTGTAAATAATTTTTTAAAGCTTATTCAAACACGTACCGAGTTCCCAACTTGTACCACTATAAATATCCATCAACATATACAAAAGTGTCTGTTAGAGCCTAGAGCAAAATTGCTGATTCGAAATTAAGCATGTCTATTCACTCCCATATTGGTGTTCTAGCTTTCTCTTTTGGCTCACATGCTGCTCCTCTCCTCACCCTTGTTCGACGGCTAGCAGCGGCCTCGTCGTCAAGAGACATAATATTTTCTTTCTTGAACACGGAAAAATCCAATTGTGTGATTTTTTCCGGGCAGGAGTTTGACAACATAAAAGCATATGACGTGTGGGATGGGACGCCTGAAGGCGAAGCTTTTTCCGGTAGTCATTTCGAGGCGATGCAATTGTTCCTTAATGCAACGCCTAGTGATTTTGAGAAGGCTATGAAAGAAGCAGAATTGGAAAGTGGTATGAAAATAAGCTGCTTATTGACTGATGCCTTCCTTTGGTTTGCCTGTGATATGCCTGCTGTATTTCTTAAGGCCTTTCTTTGGAGCCTATAAATCATTGAGAAAGTAGGATGTTTAGCAAGACTGGATAAATGAAAGCTAAACTGAGTTCTTATTTAATTATTCAAGACTTGTGTTGAAGCTAGGAAAGGAAATGTAACCCAGTTTATTACAAGTGAATTATAAGTTGCGATTTAATCCAACTAGTTTGGTTGTGAGACCTCTGTCGAAATTGTTAATAATATTAAAATAGAGGATCAGTTTTGAAGCATTGTTAGACAATACACATTCCCTCAATCTTTGCTTTGATCATGGAGTTTAACGAGATGGTCATATATGTACATGTGATAGTATCGTTCATTCAAATAACAATAAATTGAATTTTGACATATTCAAAATGCAACACCTTGACGTTCGATGGGTAAGATAGAAACAAAGTTAGTGTGTGATGCTGATGTGTCACGTTTGAATGAATTGAGATTCGATATGTTGTGATTTATATATTATTATGTGTACATATGGAATCATCTACGTTAAAATTAGAGTAGTATGTTATTGACTTTTGGTTTAGGTATAACAAACAATAAAGAACGAGCTCGATTTTTAATTTTTAATTAAGTTTTAAATGTACTTTTTTTTAAAATTTCATTTTCTTTTACAATAGTGGTGAATTTAGATAATTTTTTGGAAAAGGAAAAGAAGAAAAATAAATGAAGTTCATGGTTAGCCATTACACCTCCACGCCGTTACTTGCACGCACAATCTGTAGTGTAGTCGTGCATGACTAGATTGTGAAACAATAAACACGAACCAATGGGGACGTTCCCGTCATTCTATTCTCTATATAGCTTCTCATCGACTCATCCACTCTGCACTGCTCTCTAACTTTCTCTCTCTAGATCTGCTCTGTTGCGCCTTTTTGGTTTCTTATCTGCGGTAAATCCTGAGTCTCTAATCTTGGTTTGTTGGGGATAAGCTGTTTGGATCTTGGCTTTACCTTTTGTTTACTGTAAGTTCTTTTTCTTTTTATCGCTTCAATTTGGTGTGAGCTGCAAATTTTTTTGGATGATTTTTTTTTTACGGATTCTGGGTTTATTATGTTGTTATTTACCGTATTTCTGTAATTTTTTTGAAGTGGAATAAAGTATTTATACTTAATTTGTTAAATATGTATTATCTGGTTAATGTTAAAATTATATCTCGAGAGGGATACATTTAGATGATGGATTAACAAGATGCTAAGCGGAATTCCTACGTGTCTGATGGCCATTAAAAAATTACAAATGAGCAAAATCATTGTTGCATCACTCATCCAACTTACCCTATGTCATAGTTTACTCACTCAACTTCAAAATGCTTCCCAATGGAATTGCACTATTTAGTTATGTATTATTCAACGAAATATAAAATTTACTAGACTCGTTTCCTGAAAAAAAAAATTGATATTTTTTGAACTAGTTGAAGTATCCACGATTTGCTTCTAACGTTGGACAGTAAGGATCACATTTGTTCATCTTGAGAATAACAAAATAGATTCTATTTGTAGAAAAGTGTAAGAGTTTTTTAACACTTGGAAGAAATTAGAATAAAATAAAAACAAGACTTTCCTGTTTCGAGGATTCATCCTTATTGTTCTTTTAATTGATAGTACATATATTGTATCATTTTCTTTAACTCCTCCATCTACATTTGAAAATGTTCTCTGAATACAAGTTCTAACAAGCATCCTTACGTTCTTTATTCGAGTATAGCTGAATTATTTGAGACCATAAGTTGTAGGTCTGTTGGTTTGCTTAATGATTGTGAGTCTGCTTAGTTGTTCGAGAATTCTTTACAAACTATGCTTTTATCTGTTTTATGGTTTCTGAGGAATTATAGAAGAAAAAAAGTAAAGGTTTGATGCTTTAGAAATATGTTTATTCAGTTACATTTGACAAATTATGAGCTCGTATATTAGCTTCTTTTTGCTAAAGTAAGAAGATTTCGTACCAGTTTTGATTTGAAGACTTCCTCCGTGCAGCGCGGAGATCCTGTGTCTCCGCTTGACCGGAGGCCCGAGGCTCCGCGCTCCAGTTCTGGCTGTCGTTTGTACTGTAGTTTTTAGCATGTTTCCAGCTGGTTTTTGCTCTGTCTATTCTAGCTGAAAAACTTCAGTTTTTGCTACATTTTTGCTTCTGTGTGGATTTGTTTGTTACTTTCTTCACTTTTATTTAACTTAATTTTGCTTCTCCCTGTATGATATGTGAAACTTTTTGTTGGGTTATTCTTTATTTACCTCGATTTACAGAAGCTTTAGTTCTTGCTTGATATGTGCTCTTTTGCTCAATCTTCGCTTTTGATGCTTTTACAAGGAATATAACAGTTTTTTGTCGGCAAATTAGGAATTTTTTTTGGCTCATTCCTTGTATTTTTGTCGGATTTTTTATTTTTTGCTTTCAACATTTTACTTTAATCCAGCTAACTAGTTTCATTTTTTTGAAAAGAAAAATTGTTCTTCCAGTTCATTGTTGTTGGGTTTATGTACAAGTTTTCCGTTCTTTAGCTAAAACTTTAGTTCGGTTTCACAAATAAAAATATAGAAGACATTTTATGTTAAACAGAAACTGTTATTGCAAGGACTCATATGAATTATAACTTAGTATTTATTATTTCTTCTGCAAAATTGTTTATTTATTTATAACACTATTGACATTTTCAAGTCTTATTTAATATAGAATGTGCTTTTTTCATAATTTGTGCAGATGTCTTTGGAATATATACTTTCTCCACATCAATGGTTTTCTGCTACCATCACTCAATTTCCAAATTATCAGTTTCTTAAAGATTTTGTAGAGCTTATCAACACAGATCAACAAGCATCTTTATTGTGTAGTAATTTCCATGGATTTATATATGGTGTTATTTATAGAGCTGAAGAACAACAATTTAGTAGCAAATTAATTCATGAATTTATCATGAGACTTGTCAACTGTGGCAAGAATAATGAAGTCTGGGTAAAGTTAGATAATCGCTTGGCCCGCTTCGGTATGCAAGAGTTTTGTCTTATCACCGGATTACCTTGCCACGAGGTATCTATCAATCTTGATTTCAACAATGATCGACTTAGAAATCAATACTTTAATGGTACGAAAAGAATTAATATGAGAATGCTTTTTGAAGCATTCCACCTATGTGAAAATCAAGAAGATAAATTTAAACTCGGACTGGTGATGTTAGTAGAATGTATTTTAAAACCTACTGGAAGATATATTGATTATAGAATTTTGGGCATGGTTGAGCACCTTCATGCCTTCCTTGCGTATCCATGGGGCCGTAAAGCATATTTTGTTCTATTAAACTCTTTGCAAGAATCGCAACTGGAACGAGTACAGAGGATGCAACAAAATGAGCAAACCGAGTGTAAATATTCATTACATGGATATCCACTTGCATTCCAGGTACTATGCTTTTATTATATTGTTTTTCCTATTTTATATATAATTTTATTCACTGATTTATACAATTTGTTGTTCTACTAAGGTATTTACAAGCATCACATGTAGAAAGGGTACAGAGAATGCATCAAAATGAACAACTCGAATCCAAATATTCAATACATGGATATCCACTTGCATTCCAGGTATCTTTCTTCTATTATTTTATTTTCACCAATCTATATATAATTTAATTTAATCGTATAAATCTTATATATCTAATATGTATTTTCAATTGTGTCAGTACTGGATATACGAA